CTTTGTTACTGCAGTTCAAAGTTAAAAAACAAAACATAACTGCATCCATTATAAAATGAAGATATGAGATCTCATGTATATTTTATGTTCTTTATGGAGGGTTTGAGTCTATTATGACCATATCAAACATGAGAACCAATTTAGACGGAGGGTTTTAGAGGGGAAGACTTTTGGGGGCTTAGTATATTCTTGATACATAAAACATTCTTAAAAATAAATTAAGGGTTATTAAAATGCTTGATGATCACTTTTTTTTTTGTTATTCCTTCAGTATTTGTGAAGATAATATAGTCTTAGCCTTTTAAAATGTCCTAGTTACACAAATGTTTGAGTTCTACTGTATATTGAGCTAATGTAGGTTTTGTTCTTCATATTTAATATGATTAGTAAACCTGTAGGTTTCATCCTTCTTGTATGGGCTTGTCCATTGATGAAATAAAGAAGTTGGAGCATTTTGTGTGTTCAGACTGCTCAGGTGAAGAAGAGGCTAAAGAACAAATGAATTCATTTCAAGTATCACCGCAGGTTAGTGCAGTTTTCCATTCTTTACCGTCAGTTTTCTCTTCAGAGTAAACCTGTAACTGGATTTCAATTTAATTGGTGCAACAGCACTATGTCACGAAAAACGTCTCCAGTTCTCCTTGTAAGCTAGTTTTAGACTTTTAGTATTATAATGAAGTAATATAATATGATATTTTGACATACCTTACAATGAGCTTAATGCTCCTTCCGTTCAGTTAACTGTGCATGTAGAATATTTACAGAACCTAAGAGTAAAAGCACATGTTGTTGATACTACAGAAATGGTGAAAAAGTGGAAGAATAGATAAAACATTGGAAAAATTGATAGTAATAATAATCTCAACTATTGGCGGTCCGCTCATAATAATCCCAACTATCGATTATTTCAGAATAATCCTAACTTTAGGGACCTTCCGCCAATAATGGTCCCTATAAATAAATTCTTGTAGTTTCTAAAGTGGATGAGAAGGGATATAGCAAGTAATCCCTATAAATAATCCCAACTTTTAATTTTTACGCTTAATTTCTATTTAAAAATCACTTGTTATAGGAGGTAATATCTGGTCATGGACCATTATTGGCGGACGGTGCATATAGTTGGAATTATACAAAAATAATCAATAGTTGGGATTATTGTCAGCAGACCAGCAATAAGTGGGATTATTATTTTCAATTTTTCCTAAAAAATTAGGAAGTGAACATATTTATGGCTTGACAATGATGGTTGTTTTAAGAATTGAAAGTAGAACAAGTTGTAATAAGCCTCTATAAGTAGAAACTGAAGAAACTAAAAACAAAAACTGGTAGTATTTTAAACTGGCCGATTATGTTATTACCGGGAATTGGGGTTAAGACAAGAATAGTATTAAAAATTACCTAATGGACAAAAAAGAGACCTTTTTAAATATCCAAAAAGACTCTAAAACTGATTAAGAGGGCCATTATACCCCTTTATTCCATCTGGCGCAGTTGACCCAGGGTCACGGTGACCAAGGTCAACGTGACCAACGCCGTCGCCGGTCACAGTGCCAACGCCGTCACCGGTCACAGTGCCAACGCCGTCGCCGGTCACAGTGACCAACATCCGATCATAGTGACCACTGACCACCACCCCGACATCACACTGATCTATGTTTCCCGATGACCGATACAATGACCCGTTGTCCAGTGACAATTACACTACAGTCCCAGTGACCTATTTCCAACACTACAGTGACCTGTTTTTTCAACTACAAACTGTGACACCTAAAAACTTTCATCAGTGGATCGATTGATCAGAGTCACTGCTCTCTCCAGACAGTGACCTCAACCATATAGAATCCAATAAACAAAAAATGAACGAATTGAAGGTGTTGAAACCCAGGCCGTCACTAATCTCGTCCCTTAACCATAGCCTCCGCCCGCCGCCACCCTTGTAACCCAAGTTGTGACACTGCCCGCTGTCATTTTGTAACCCTAGCTGCACCTCCCTCCATCTCTTTCACAGTAAATCCACGATGCGCCACCGCTCGTCTCTCGCCGTAGCTAGAGGGCCATCACCAGGAGGGACAAAAGTCTGATCCGTGAGCCGTAGCCAGGACAGCTGCTCACACGCTATTGTCAAAAGCGCCGCAGCCGCTCGCCATAGCCAGAAGACCGCTGCTCGCCATGACCAGAGCTCAGAAGGTACGAGTGCGACGGATTTGGTCGTGGGTATGGAGTGGTTGCTGCAATGGAGAAGATGAGCCAGGGAGAGATTTCACAGAAGATGAGCCTGGGGAGATAGGAGAAGTTATATCGACAATGAGCAAGACTTGGAGGCCGGCTGTTCAGTCCTGATCTTTTTAATTAGGGGTGCTTCAGTCCATTTATTATTTTTGGTCTCTTTTTTGTTCAAAATTAAAAATGATCATATTTTTGTCGGCATAGAAGCTAATTGTATTATTTCCATCATTATTTCATAAGACAAATCAAAGAAAATAGACGAAGGAAGAAGAATTGGTATGATGGTAAATGGCAACTAAGACAAGTAAAATTCATCGGTGAATCCCCTCTATGTGTTTATCCATAAGTGTTTCTATCCTCACTTTATTTTTTGTTAGATTATGTTAGGTCACTGATCAAATTTCATAATCTTTATGCTAGGCGGAGGCAAAGCGTAGAAAGAAAACCGATTGAGCTTTGTTGCTAGGAGGGCTGGTTCATCTTTTTCCTGGGAAAGCTCAGTATGTATTTTGCTGTTGTGTTGTGGAGAACTGTACAGTGCTGATCATACTGGGCTTTTAAAAAAACTATTAACCTATTTTTCTGAACCTCTTCTTTGTAATAATACTAGTGTCTTGTGTGTAGCTAGACTGAGATTTTAAACTGATAAATACTCCAATTTTTTGTTCAGAACAACCTAGCCTAGCCTACCCAGAGTTTTCTTAATAAATACATCTGGGGAAAAAATAGAAACCTACATGTGCATAAAATTATGGGATTGGAAAACAACCGGTTATGCAGATTTGATTTTTTATATATTAAAGATTAAAGAAGAAACATGACACATGACTCCGTCTGTTCAAGTAAGAAAATACTTTTACCTTGTGCTTTTCCTTGGAAAGTCTCAGTTTTTATCCAACGTTTTCACCAAGCGTGTAACTTTTGATTTCAGATATTGAATCAAATATTGGTTGAAATTATTATAGAGGATCATTTTAGTTATTTTTCATAAAAATTTTCTCTATCTCATCACCTAATTCAGCATATTAAGCCACTCCAATCAAAACTTTTTCAATATCACCTTTTGATTATTGCCCCCACACTCCCTACCTGAGACTGGGATCGGAATTTCTGGGTAAGGACCAATTTTGGTCTCAACCTGATATTGGTTTGGTTCAAAACTGATTTTGGTCCGGTTTTGCAATCTAATTAAAAAACATGATCTAGTCCGGTCTTGATTTGGAGTCACCAAGATTGTACTGGGTAAGGTTGGACTTGGTCCACGGTCTTGGACCGGTCTGGACCGTAACTAGGTGGTTCCCAAGATCAGAATATAACTGATTTTTCTGATTGAGTCTTGGGAGCGTCGCTGGACCTGTCCCCTACTGGTGCCGGTGCAGATTAGGGTATTTGTGGATTGGATTCGCCCAATATGGTCTCGGTATGATTTTTTTTTTCATTTCAAAGCTTTAGAGCCTTAGAGGCATTTTAAGAGATTAATTCATTTGAAGGCTAAAACAAAGTAGGGAGGGGGTCCGGAAGGTTTAAAAACATACAAAAAAAATATTTTTAAAAATAAAAAATCAGGATCAGACTTAAATTGGGACCGCTCTCGGACTCTCGGTTCTAGATATCCAGCCTCTTAGGAGTGGCCAGTCCAGAATCGAACCTGACCGGGTCCATGCCTAGTACTGGGTTAGGCCAATTCCGGGTCCATTCCAAGCTAAATTGATTCTTGTCTGGGTCCATGCCTAGCTCCAAGACAAATTTTAAGAGATGGGAATGAACATGACCCATTTTCATGTTAAGGGATGGTTAAGATGTACTTATTTGTGTTAATTTTATGGTTTAACTCCTCCTATATTGATATAGGAGTGAACATGATCGTTTATTGCTATGACTGGTACCAGTAATCGACCTGAGCCAACCTGTTCCTATTTCTGGGTTAGGCCTATTTTGGGTGAAGTTCTAGTTAAATTGATTCCCGTTTGAGTCGATCATTTTAGAGCAAGGCAAATACCCTGACTTTCTTTCCCTTGGCTCTATTATGGTTCAAGTTGTTCTTATTTGTGTCAAAATGTACTTATTGTACCCTGACTTTCTTTCCCTTGGGGTATTTGACCATCATAAGTACAACTTGACACAAATAAGTACAACTTGACCATCTCTATCATTTTAGTTGACCGTCATAAAAGAGATGGTCAAGTTGTACTTATTTGTGTCAAAATTATGGTTCAAATCTACACACGACCATAGGATTGGACATGCCCTGTTTTTTGGCTATAACTAGTCCCAGACTTCCAGCTCTAATCCATCCAAATAATTTCATTGCTTCCTACAATGAATAAACTGAAATCTTGAACTGAAATTAGACTAAAATTGACTCGATCAGACTCAGACTGCTTGTACTGAACTAGATATGGACTAGAAAGTATTTTTGTGAAAGCGATGACACCCCATCCTGAGACATTTTAAAACCGCCCAGTCAGTTATATGGTAGGATGAAGATTGTGAAATTTAGTCACAGTATGATGGAATAATGAGTCATGTTCTGGCCTGCACTTTATCACACTTTGGCACAAGGCAGGTGAGGAATAACAGATGGTACTGATTCTTCATGTAAAGCATAATCCACAACGTTTAAAATATGCCAATCTCTTGCTTCATGCATGCTATTGAGAAGCGTGAGAAGGAAACTTCACACCATATACATTACTTCGTGAAGAAAAAACTTTTCCACTGTCCAGGCATCCATCAGGTCAGGTGTGCCGTGGCCCGTGTGGGGGTTTCATGCGGGCGATTCCACCTTTTTGGTATGTGACGAAATAACAGGTATACGATTGAAAATGACGAATATATTTATAGAACTATAGGTAGGTATTTTGGGTAAATTATGGTGCCTGCTGTATTTCAAAATGAGGCAGTTGAGGTTCGGTTATTACAACTATTATTCAAGCAATTAAATTTAGCAAAAACGGCGACGAGCGGCGCGGTGTTGTATGTACACGCCTCCGTCTGCATATAGTTGTGTCTTTCATCATCAAACTCGTCATTCTGATCCGGTCCCCCGACCAACGCCCCATGCACAACGTTAGGGTTGGGCGCATCCCGGCCGTACCAATCATCGTACCCCTGGGTACACCCTATGAACCTCTGGTCCTCCTTGAAAGATACGATGGATGACCCCCTGTGGTGAACTCTCTTGGGATAGTTTGGGCCGAAGCCCACCAGGTAGCTCATGTTCCTCGGATTCGAGCCCAATATGTAGTCAACTTGTGATCTGGCGAACCGGAGGAGCTCCTCGTGGCCAACGGCTGTTCCGGCGGGACAACTCAGGTTCTGGCCGGAGTTCTTGAGGAAGTCGGAGTGTAATGTGAGAAGAAAGGCGGCCACCGACACGTGCTGCATGTTGTTCCATTGACGGACGAATATGAGGCCGGCCGGAGTGCGTCTGATGTTGCTGCCGGCGATGTTTTTGTTGAGGCATGAACATATGTAATGTTCGGCTTTGGAACGGTACTGTTCTAGGATGGGGCCGTGGTGCTTCCTGTGCCTTTCCTCCTGGAGTAGCTGAATCACAAAAAATAAAGTATAACATGCTGAAAATTATTAGACAAAAACCTATTATTATAAGAATACATAAGACATAATCACATTTCTTATGGACAACATGTATTTGGAAATATATTCGTCATTATTTTTTATGTAGTGACAAAATACTACGGACTATATAGATTTTGTGCTACTCTTCATATTAAATTAGCCTTTTAGAATGAAATCTCATATCTTAGCATGATATTAGAGCTAAGAGTCTAGTTTTGGTATGATTGATGTTTAGATTAAGTGTAGCTCGGTAAGGGTATATATATTTGATCCCTTTATACATCCCAATATTGTCTGACCTGATTGAAGTGAAGGTCCATGTTGAAGCATTTGTTCTCCACCGGATAAGTATAATAGTAATACTTCGTAAAATATTACGTAGTATATAAGATCTTGTGTTACTCCTATCAAGTTAATCTTTTACCATAATAATGCAAATCTTAACAATTAGTCCCTCCGTTCCGTTAAGATTGTCTCATATCAAATTCGGTACAATTTGTGCAGTTTTAAATCATTTTATTTAAACTTACTTTATTAATTTAATATCAAGCACATCAACTCATTTCTCTTAATAATCATGTCATTATTCATGTCTCAATATTAATGAGATGACAGTAGTATAACACAAAGTTCCGTGCAATTTTTAAATCATAAAAGTTAATACTCAAAATTTGTAAATTTGTACTCCGTATAAAGTAATCACAAGGTATTTCGTGTATTCTTTCAGTATTATTCTCTTGGAGCCCACGCATTCATCCTCACCCTCATTTGTGCGTGCACGAAACGAAGATGGGTGAGAGGAGGATGATGCAGCGAGAGAGAAAGCAGGGCCGCCGTAAAAAAGTAGCAACGCCAACTCCCACCCCATACTCATCGCCTCGCCCTAATCTTCCCTTCGAGCCGAACCGGTCGGTTGTCCAAAGCATTAGCGAGTCGGGCGGCGTCACCAAGTCATGGAGATCATCGCCGTCACCTTGTCTTCTTCTTTCCACATCAGCCGCCGCAGCTTGTGGAAAGGAATGTCCCTCCTTCACATGTCGGAAACCCCGAATCTTTGTTTAATCGCTGGGGATATAGATATTCGGATTGGGAATTCACGGTTCCCTTCAAATCTGTCAATAGGTCGGTCGTGAAGGTCAATCCGGGCTCCAAAAACAGCTACACGGTCGAAAGTTCAATGGTCATCACAGGCATTAGCTCCCCTGCTTTTGCATTCCAAAGAGCTCAATACAAGCGTTATTATCATGAACATGATAATCATGACAGGCGTTGGAGAATGAGAGACTGCAGGGTAATTGATCCTTATTCATCAAGTAGCGATCATCGATACATGGAGTTCACAAATATTATTGGACTTGAAGGAATATATTATGCAATCAGCCGGCAGGGGTGTCTAGCAGTGATTGAATACGAGGATAGTACAAGTAATTTTGAGATTACTGCATTAGGAAGTAATAGAGTTGTTCCTTCCAAAGCTTCAAGGCTCTTTAAGGAGTTCTTGCTGAAATACAAAGGAGAAATCTTTTTAGTTTTCTTAGTATGGTGGAGAGGCGGATCATTGGACGATGTGGTGGATGACGTCGAAGTTTTACGATTAAATTTAAATAAAAAAAAAAAAAAAGTAATCACAAGATTTAAGGCATTGCATCCAAATTTCTTGCCACAAATTTAAAGAAAGTATACTCCCGAGTAGTGGTGGACCTGGTCTGGGCCGACCGGACCGGCCCAGTCAATCGGTACCGAGCTTGGGCCCGTCCTGGGGGGTCTAGCGGTGGCGGTTCCGGTACCTCAAAATGCTGAACCGGCCCGGTTCGGGCCTTTTTTTCTTCTAAAGTTTTTTTGTTTTTCCCGGATTGGGCTGGGTGTTTTTTTTGGGGGGTTTGGGGGGTGAGGGGGGTTAAGTAGAAAAGCAAAAAAAAAAATGAAGAAGCCCAGGGATTGGCCTGAGACCGGACCCCGTGGAAACCCGGACCAGTTCCGGGCCCGTAGCCAAACCCAAAAAGCCCGTCCAGGACCGGCCGGAGCCCAACCCGGGACCGGTCCATGCCTACTGCCAAGTAACATCGATTTCCTTCATTCCTTGTGCTTTTGGGGCCCTACAAGAAACGTCGCATGTGGTTGTAGAACTAACTTGTCATACCATTATGACCACGTGCTCCTCCCTACATCTATCTACTTACATGGAAGTATTGAGCTTGTAGATCCAATTTGCTATATTCCATCACATTTTGCATTTTATATCGTTATTATTAATAACTCAAATGAAGTGATCTGAACTGTGAATCATTCTTCCAGATTGATTGTGTTTTTCATGGCTCGCACTTCTATTATACGGAGTAATATTTATTCTTTCTTGAATGTCTACATTCTTGAATTGGGATGAATTTGGATTTTGTGACATCCTCTTTGAAAGTGTTATAGTACTATCATCGAACCACAAGGTGTTTGAGTACTTAAACAATGTGACAACATGTTTTTAGTATTATCTCAGCACCTTAGTCTAAAAAGATCAAGACAAAATTTAGCTATACAATTTACCTCATTATGAGCGAGATAAGATTTCAGATACCCACTTGCGTAATTCTTTTCTCGCTAAATTTAAATTGTGAACTTTAATATTTTCATTTTTAGTCTTCGACAACTGTACGAGAGACAGTTTTATTAGTACTTCATTTCAAAGCTTCCCACATTTAATCCCCCGGGTATTTCCAAATTGACACTTGTAGTCAATAGTCATTCTATTATGATTTTGACACAATAAGTGGATGACTACAAATGTCACTATTATAATAGTTGAAGGACCTAGTATATCACTTTTATGAAAGTTGAAAGACTACCGATGAACAGTCTACCCGGGGTAGCTTATCCGGGGGGTTATTATGAGAATAACCTAGAGAGAAGTCAGAGCAAACAAGTAGGAGAGAGAGGCGATTATATTTATGAACTCGAGATGTTCTGGTCTGGGATCTGGGATCCTTTACAATGGGGAAATGAGGTGCTATTTATAGTAGCAATAAATGCGATGAGAGTACACGTGGCGATAATCCAACGGCCGATGGGTCACCTCAACCGGGTGGCACTGGCAGTCGCATGTGCTCCGCATTGAATGCGGTTGGTGGATGTGACGTTACATTAAATGCGGTGATTGCTTGTCTCCAAAGGGAATCTTTTCGATGATTGAGTTGTTGACCGAGGGCTCTCCCCTGCGACCGAGGGCCTGTGTAGCCGAAGGCATGGGAGTGCTGAAGGCTTCCCTGATGTCGAGGGCAGCAGGTGTTTGACCGAAGGCTACTGGTAGCCGAGGGTTACTGTTTTACGTCGTTTTCTCCCAGTAGCTTCGTATGCTCGAATCTTGGTGCCCTGTGTATTTTGGAGCCTTCGGCCAAGGAGGCCGAAGGCACCCGGTGTGTATTTTGGGCTTCTTTGAGACTTGGGCCGCTATAGTTGGGCTTCGAATGTTCCTTGGGCTTAATGGGCCTGTGTAGGAGAAGTAAGAGTCTATGGGCCGGGTGTTCCTGGGCCATATACTCCATCAACTACATAAGGAAATTTTCAAAAATGGGTACAAAAAGTGTCCTTCGCATATTAGTCGGACTAAAAGTAGGTAAAAATCAAAGTCGAACATAAAAAATGTGACATCAAAAGTAGATAAAAATCAAAGTCCAACATAAAAGTTGGACTAAAAGTTGGACAGAAACTCCTTTTAAGATGTGGTAACCAATTTCGGATCAAAGTGAATTGATTTAGCATTACGTTACTAGTAATTTACTCCATTAACTCACCTATACCATCGAATATGCAGAATTATTTTCTCAACTATACAAAATCATTTGAATTGCCTATACATTATAGGAGGGCAATGGTCAAATCAATTGTTAAAGTATAGGTTTCTTAAATTCAAGTATATCATTCCTCCTATACATAAAACATTTTCACTTACCATTTAAAATTTTGAATATTTAAAAAGGGAATTCCTTTAATTATTTAAGATGATTTCTTTTTGTTCTAATGTCTCATTAATTAATTAATTAATAATTTAATGGCCAAATACCAATCTAAAATTTTGCAACTGAAATATATTACCTCCTTGGCTCCTTCAAGTAAAACTTTATGGATTTTTTACTCCGTATTTATTTATTTAGTTGTCTCTATTTTTTTTTATCATTTTGATTTAAAGTAACAAATAGTCCGTACGTTTATAAATTTATTTAGCTCTCGTATACAAAACTCAACCTCACAGTTACTACGTAGTCGGAGTATTATTTAGGGTGTATGCTTAACTAAGTTGTGTTGAACGAGAGTAAGAAAGGAACATAAGAATTTTTGGATTCTCCATTTCATGCGTAGCCCCATACTAATTGTCCGGAAATGGCGGGACGAATTAAAACTGAGTACAACAAGGAATGCACGTGGCTCGTTGCAGTTCGAGCTATCCCGCGCTGTATAGACTATGGAGTATGGACCCGATCCAAGCTATTCAATTGAATTCAGTTTCCTGCGTCACCCATGTGAGAGACTAGAGTACGTGTACGAAAGAAGAGTTATACTCTCGTACTCCGTAGTATTTTAAATTAATACTCCGTATTCATTTTTAATATGAGTAAATGATCAGTTTGGTCCTCGAAGTTGCAAAAAAGGGGTCAAATAAGTCTTTATATAGAAGATTCTGTCCGGACGTGCCATTTGAGGTGGCTCCTGATAGAATTTTTTGAAGAAATTTTTTGAACATCTTATTCATTAAGTCTAGTTTACTCATACCAAATTTCAGCTAACAATTCAATCGGGGAGACATTCAAATGAATTCTTGAAGATAACTGCGCTTTTAACGGCACAGTTATCTTCAAGAATTCATTTGAATGTCTTCCCGATTGAATTTTTATTTGAAATTTGGTATGAGTAAACTAGACTTAATGAATAAGATGCTCAAAAAATTTCATTAAAAAATTCCACCGGGAGCCACCTCAAATGGCACGTCCGGATAGAATTTTCTATATAAGGACTTATTTGACCCCCTTTTTACAACTTCGAGGACCAAACTGACCCTTATCCCTTTTTAATATTAATCTCTTTTCATCCCACATTCCCGCTTCTATGTCTTTGTTTGCAATCACTTGTGCTTAAATAAAAGCACTTTTTGGAAAAAAGTGATTAGTAATAAAAGTTGGTAGTGTTTGGTAAAATAAGTGTTTTTTGTGTAATAGAAAAAGTAAAAAGTAGATTCTACACGGAAGGCGAGAAAGTAAAAATTGGTAGTGTTTGGTAAAATAAGTGCTTTTTTCTTTAAAAAAATCAAAATCATTTTTCTTAAGTGATTGCAAACAAGCCTTATATATGATGCGGATGGTGCCAAATGTTTATACATTCTTAACATTTTGCCCACATATAGAAGATTAACATTTATTAATCTATTTTTAAATCCAAGAAACTCCATATCAAAAAACCCTTCGTCTTGTAAAACTGAGGAGGTGTTTGTTTTTTAGCATGTTAATTAGGTTAAACAGAACACGACTCCACTTTACATGAGGCCCCAATATTTATAGTACCCTAGTACTGTATAATATCGTATATGAATATGGACTACGTGCAGCTAAATTCATACTCCACTACTCCGTATAATAATGTCCTCATAAATCGAAACATTTAAAAAAAAATGTAGATATCAGATTAATTATTTGAAAGGGGAAAATTATTACTTGCGATTCTTTAATTGCATTATTCAATTGATTTGAATATAATCAGAATTTAAATTGAGAATATTTTTTAGTTTTTTAGATAAAAATGGGGCCTCAAAGAAGCATTTTGAACAGGGGCCTCCGAATTCAGTAGACGCCCTGTTTTCCGGCATTTTCTGCTCAAACTGTTCGTGAATCTGGCATTTTCACCGAACACGCCAAGTAGCAAACAACCCCTATCTTTTAGATGAATTAGCAAAATAAATACTTAAGCATGAAATGTGATATGAATGAGTATGATTCTTGTAGATTAGCTGTGGGGACATAGAATCAAGGGATCAGCATCTATATAAGAAGAAAGGAGAGGTAGATTAGTTAATAGATACCTGGGAAGCAAGGATTTGAAGGCCAGCATATTTGACATCCCAAGTGAACTCTGAGATGGCCCAAGTGATGCCCCCAAAAGAATGGGCGTTGTCCATTGCGTAGTGGAGGTAGCGGCGGTCGTCGGTGGCTCGGAACAGCCAAAGTGCGGCCCACAGTAACTCGTCCTTGTACCCGCTAAATGAAGCGTAGTAGCTTTTCGCCACTCCCACGCTGCTGTCATACGCCCCCCTATACTTGTCCCCAAATTCGAACAGCTGCATCCACGGACACCCATTCTTATTTCATTAGTATACATGAAGATTAGACCAAACTTTAACAAACTAGACTAGACCAGACAAGATTTCGACCGTTGCAAAAACAACTAAGGTAACACTCTTGCTTCGTAATAATAATACTCATAAGAATACTCTTGTATTCAATTCTACTAAACATCTTTAATAATCTCTATGTAATACCACCTCCATCCCACTTTCGTTGGAAAAAAGACCAAACATGACAGCTAATTTGATCAAGTTGAATTTGATAAACATTATTTACCATAATATGTTAAGACCCGGGGTTCCATCCTAAAAGATCAACTTGTTAGGAGGAGTAACCCATAGCTTAATATAACACTTTGTTCATTCAAACTTTTCCGGTGTCGGACATTTAACATAATATGTTATATTAAAAGGAACTAAGGAAGTGGTAACTGGTAAGTGTTCTGGATAACCAAATAAAGAAAGCCGACAACATTGGAAAACATAAATACATTTGAACCTAATAAATATTACGGATATAAGACAAATATAGTACAAAAGGGGTAACAAATTGAAATAAGATAAATATAAATTATATAATGAGACAAAGGAAGCATTTTTCTTAGATTTTTTTTGTCTATATAGCCTATTTCTACTTTCTACGGAGTAGTATAGTATTGGTTGGCCGATTAAGACTTCATATATACGATAGTAATGGATTGAGTAATAATGGTAAATGTAATATACTCCCTCGGTCCCATTTATATTGCCGTTTTACCTTTTCGGGAAGTCCCACTTAAATTGTCTCATACCATATTTGGCAAAGTTTGTGTGACTCTAAATCATTCTTACTTTATTCTTACTTTATCAATTAATATGAAACACACAAACTCACTTTTCTTAATAATCGTGCCACCCTCTTCCGTCCCATATAAATGCGACGGAGGTAGTAACAATTATACGCTTTTAAGAAGAAACGGTTTGAGAGTAAAAAGGGGAATACAAAATGTGATTTGAGCCCGTACTTCAAATACTCCGTAATATTTTAAATGAAGAAATAAGCTCACTCGGTATTTATTAACTTAGTTTTTATTAATAATGAAAGTTTGACTTTTGTATTATTCATAGTATTTGGTTCAAATGTTATTTATTACGAAGTATTATACCAAAAAATAATACTAGTAGTAGTTATTTAATCTTGCTATGCCAACATTTTCACTATGGAACCGTTCAAGGATGGTCGAACGGGGAATCTTACTTGTAGTTTGGAAATGGTCACATCTCGACCATCAGTATGGACGATCCGTATCGAAGAACTCGAACGGTGGCATCGAAACTATGGTTTGGAAGATAACAAACATTAAACGAAGTATGAAATAAATGGACTTCTTAATGACTTGCGCTATCAGAAAAATAGAACCCAGGTATAAAGGAAGAATCCTTATTCTTCGGCACTGCTGGCCGGAAAATCGAGAAGATCAGCCACGGTTGATATGATGGATAGTGAGCAAATTAATCTTCCCGATATGTTTTCTCTACTAAATCATTTGGGTCAATTTTAAACTCACCGGCCAAGAGTCTACGATTGTCTTTATATGTAATAGGACAAGAATTTTGCACCGAGCACCACAATTTTTCCACGAAGAATAAACACTAGGTGGACATTTTACGGCCCTCCTATAATACTTTATACTACGTAGAGATTTCTCTTTCAACTATTCAACAAATTTTATGCTAAAAAATTTGTGCTTTGCAATATAATGGAAAAAAACTAAGGGAAGATTTGCCAAGTCACAACTCACACGCCTGTGATGGAACTCTTCCCCTGGATTTGGGGTCCGACTACCTTTTTATTCATAAGGAAATTATTGAGTGCCTAAATGATGTGATACACCAACAATTTACACCAAATTATAGCATTGGTCATAAATACTAGCGAGTACGGGGTAGTATAATAATGAGCTAATCAAATGCTTCGTCTCTTCTTGAAAAGATACCCATCAAGGAAATATTATTGGGAGTACTCAATTTACTCCGTATAAAATAACAATTGATGCACATACGGAGTACTCCGTATTAAATTACTTGTAATTATAAAGTTTTTGAGAAGTTTTTTTTTAATCGTAGTTTTCGAGAAGTTAGACAATGAAATGTTAGAAGAGGTGAATAATAAAGAAAAATGTAAAAGTAAGAAAGGTAACAGAAGTATAAAAAATCTAAAAGTGGAAACGTATAGAAAAAAAGTAATTTTATATTCTTAGAAGTAAAAGTTTACCAAAATAGAAAATGTTACAAGTAATATTACAAATTATTCTGAAATTGCTTAGTTATTGTTACACCTAACCATAACCCATAAGAACAACTAACACGTTTTGTAGAGCCCGATTGGGGTTACTCGACTGAAATAACCAAACTTGTGCTTAGAGAATTTCAATGGTTAAAATGTCTCAATCTCTTAAATCAAAAGCAACATATATATTTCGACGATTGTGCTTGTATTCTAAATATAAGCAAATCAAACACAAGAATTTGAATCGAAGCTAAAAGCTACCCAAATGGTTACACATTAGAGTCTATTAAGAATGTAATGTTTTTACCTGGACTGTAATTTGCTGGTCTGATCTGGTCTGGTCTGTTTAAGTCTGGTCTGGTAAACGTTTGGTCTCTGTGTATTTTATAACTATGTAACTTCAAAAGTCAAGTCTGGTCTGGTCTGTTTAAGTCTGGTCTGAGACTGAAAACAGTCCAAGTAAATACATCTTAAGAGCTAAATCTGCTCAAATTAGTGAAATTCAAACTGAAGCGTTGAATGGAGTGAACCTGATGAGTTATGACACTATTATATCGAAAATATATTATACATCAATAAATCAAAGAAAATTTTATATGAAAATAACTAAAATAGTCAACATCAGTGATTTCGGTAAAAAAAAGTAACTACCATCTTATTCTGACTATAACACTAATCTTCACGCTAAATAAAGAACAGTGTGTTTGGTAAAACCATTAATTGTCAAGGCAGATAAGTCGAAAGGGTTTTTTACGAGAATATTACTAAAATAAAACTTATTTACATAAATATGACTATTCATGTTCAAAACTTGAACATGAATTACTATAATTTCATTACTATTTTAGTAATGAATTATATTTTTGTAAACCATCTTTATTTTGGTCATATTTATGTAATTATAATAGGTTTTACCAAATGAACTTTTAATCTTTTACTTATTGCATCAGTACGACTGTACGAGGTTTCTTGTACTCACTTTTGAGTTTTCCATTTTTTATCTTTGGAATGTTATTAGAGGTCTTTGGTCCTGGATATCGGATGTTCTTAATTGGATTGTAATCTTTTAGTTTGCTCGTGTAAGTTCAAGTATGGTCTGAAATTGTTTAATATGGTCTGATCTAGACTTTGGGATCTAGATCTGGATATTGACAGATGTGTTCGGTGGAAACCGTTGCCGTGGGTAGGGGCGACAACCATAGAAAGACACGGTGAGGCAACGATGTGCTCCAGTCGTGCGAAGGAGGACGGCGAGGCAAAGGCGTCGCACAAAAGGTGAAATCGATGGACGTGTTACGGTCGCGCGAAGGAGTCGGTTGATGAAGGTCCTTCACAGTGACACAGTCAGACGGATCTCCCTTCCCAGCGATGCAGATGGCTAGCGACGCAGGCGGCCGAACTTCCCCTTCCCAACGACGCATGTGGGGCCGGATTCTCCATTCCAAGCGACTGCACTACCTGCGGCGACAGAGATTGTATGTGGCGGGAAAGAGAAGCGCATGTCTGAGAGTCTATGATGCAAAGAGAAGGAGAAAAGTTAGGGTTTTGATGTTCGATTTTTTAAGGAGCATTTGTGCCTCTTTAGTTTTAAATAGTCTCTATTTTTGTCCTATTTCAAAATCAGTCATATTTTTGTCTTTTACAGGTGTATAAGTAATATTTAAGTCATTGTTTCTAAAAGTAATCATATCAAATCAACATAAAATGTGCATTTTCTAAAGAAAAATCATTGAACATTTTATTCATTCGCGCATCGCGCGTGTATAAAACTAGTACAGTGAGTGCTCTTCTCATCAGGCCGGCCTGACGGGCTGCTCCGTCCGGCCGAGCCCGTTTGGGCATCTTCCCGGTAGAATTTTTTGATGAAATTTTTTTGAGCATGTTCCTCATCAAGTCTAATTTGTCCTTACCAAATTTCAGCTCAAAATTCGATCGGGAAGGCATTCAAAACAGTTTTTGAAGTTGACTGCGTCAAAATATGCATATAAAACTGCAGTCAACTTCAAAAAATAATTTGAATGCTTTCCCGATCGAATTTTGAGCTGAAATTCGGTATGGACAAACTAGACTTGATGAGGAACATGCTCAAAAAATTTCATCAAAAAATTCCACTGGGAAGGTGCCCAAACGGGCTCGGCCGGACGGAGCAGCCCATCAGGCCGGCCTGACATGAACATTCCTCCTAGTACAGTTATATTACTACTACATATGTTGTTAAATAAGTGCAACATTTCATTTTTTTTAAAGTTTGTCAACGCACAACTGTGATCATTAATACGAAGTATATACTATCGTATAATTTTATTTTAGTAAAAAATTTAAAAAATAGAATTTTGAACATCTCCTATGAGACAAACTTAGTAACATTTTTAAAAATTAAATTTTTAATACATTCCATAAATATGTGTGTATAATATAATAATACGTGTATATAGTCATATATACGAAGGCTTGATGTTGTATTTGTTTTTTTGTGTACTCCATACATATTGATACGAACTAAGAGCATCTTCTGCTCCTCAATCTTAATTACGATTTTTTATGACTTGTTATTGTCATGTCACTTTAAATAATCTCCAACCTAAAAAATCTTAAATAATCTCCAACCTAAATAATTTCTTCTCAACCATGATCTAATTTACCTATATTTTTAATTACCCATTCTTGTAATTCCAAAAAAAATTACCCATTCTTGCTTTTGGAAGTGATCGATGCATCACTTGCAAGGAAAATCAAGTTCAAGTTTAATGCTAGTGACTTTTAGTATTTCATATAATCTTCAATAATCTCATATTTAAATTTTGATACCAGATTTTTAATCAAGTAATGTCTTCAAATAATTCCAACATCCCAACCATTATCTTAAAAATAGCATGCATCTACATCATCAAAATGATCCCAAATAAACCTATGAATGGGGATGTCCTAACAAGGTGGTAAAATACTTCTAATTAAATACTCAGTGCAATAAATTTCACTTTGGGTCCTAGGAGTATCACACTGATTCCACAATTGGTCACATCTTTGACTTTGATCACTTTTGGTACATGACTATTATGGTTTTGCCCATGTGTGGTCTTTCTGGCAATACTTCCGGTGGTTAAAATCGTCGGAGAAGGACAACAAATGATCAAGAAACATTAGTCAAGTATCAAAAGTGAACAAAGTGAAAGACATGAATTAAATGTGGAAATGACATAAAACTGGACCAAAAGTGGAATTAATTCATACTCAGTGTGGATCATATATGACTCATGGCATCCTTTTTACACTGGAAAATTTTCCACTTTTGCTCTAATGGCATACGCTTTAAGCCTTTAACTTTGGAATTTACAAGTAAGAGCTTTAAATTTTCGTACCTGCTGCGCATGATGCAATAACAGGTGAGAATAATGTGGGTTGCTTCCGCGGAACACGATGGAGGCGGCCGCCATGGCGGCAGCTGTTTCTCCAGCGAGATCCGACCCCGGATTATTCTCATCGATCTTGAAAGCTCGCCGGGATGTCGTCATGTCCTCCGCCCGCTGCCAGCAGTAATGATCAGTGTCTCCGTCACCCACCTGTAAAAGTAAATCATGATAACGGGTGAATCGATTGATTTTGCTGAAATTTATGAAATTTTAATTCAAATGGTTGGATTGATTAATTCTACTTATTTATGAGAAGGATACTAAAATATATTTTATTAATAGAAAAATGAAAAAATTATATGAAAATAGTAAATTGGTTCTATACAATAATTTCAGTCAATACAAGCACCAAATTAACAACAATTTTAATTTTTCTTATTGTTACACAATTTAATGCGCGAAATCAAAAATCAAGTGTTTAGTGAAAAAGTTGGTTGAACAAAAATCAATCAAAAATAGAAATTAAATTACTGCTCTGAAATATTTAAAATAAAAATTATACCTCCGCCCATAACACATTTGGACTAGTATGAGCTTTAATGAAGTAATCAGTTCCCCATTTGATGGCCTCAAGAGCGTGCTCCCACTCCCCTGCACCCGCAATCTCCGCGCCATACTCGATCGCTCCCCACGCCAGCAATGTCACCGTGAACGCCATCGGCAAACCGAATTTCACGTGGTCTCCGGCATCGTAGTAACCGCCGACCAGGTCCACCTTCTGCTCCAGGCCGTCGGCGAGGCCGGAATGGTGGCGCCACGTCACTCTCTGGTTGTACGGAATCCGGCCGGACCTCTGCGCCTCGAAGTAGAGGAGGGACTTGGACAGCGCGTCGGCGTAGTCGAAATCGCGCTCGGCGGCGGCGACGGCGGGGAAGAGAAATAGGGAGGCAGATAGAAGCAGAAATTTGAGATATCTGGAGAAATGTAGGGCCTGCTGATTCCTCTTCTTCTCCGTCATCTCCATAGCCATTGGCCTTCTGCTCCTAAAGAGGTTTTAGGAGTGAATAAATTAGAATGGAAGGAGTAAAGGTAGAGAAGAGGAAAACAACAAAGGAATGAGAAGAGACTTGTTGGTTTCATAAAGTTTGATGAGGGGCTTTTGGGTAACATACAGAGTATTACAGGTCTACCTAGTATGCTAAATTAATATTTTTCCTATAATATTATGCGAATTTTTATGAACTAAATTAGGCGTTGCCAAGGTTCTTAAACTCGATGAAAAAAAAGTTCTTAAACTCGAGATCTTAGCACAAAATCGAAAGGGGTCTAGAAGATCGTAACTCGAGGATCGTAAAATCCTACCGTGCAATATATTTATATACTCCGTATATAATCTCTACAATATTATAAGAGGGAATATTGTTAGGGGTTAAACGGTGATAAAAAAAATGTTGGTGTCTCTTGGTGCATAATCTTACTGTACTTTATGTTTACTTTGTTGTACATTGCTGACCTGCTCACGGCTTTAACGTTATATCCTTATGGAGGAAAGTCCACGCTCTTTTATCTGTACTCTATTTCATTTATTTCCTTGAACCCCCTTACCGTTTCAGCTCCTCTCTTCCGTTTTAGCCGCTTAGAATTCTTGACTTGGTAGAATCGGAGTAATGGCTTCACCACCCTACTTACTGTATGTACTGCTTGAGGTTGATTTTTGGAAGTTTGGTCCCCTGCTCTGGAAAGGTCATGGAGGATTTGTACGCTCATGATGGATCTTGATATGGATTTGTGACGGTCTGATGGAGTCCTACCTCACTGAACGCAGATGCTCGCCAGAAGTGTCCTTTTTCTTCGACAGATCTGGATTTCGAAGGTGAATTGGAAGCCGATGGTGTGCGTGGATCTCTCTTAAGATACAGGGGACCTTCACCCAACGATTTAAGGTTAGTTTGGATCTGGGCTATCTTTGTGCCTTCTCTCCTCCATTTCATTGCTTGGACTGGCCTGTGTCTTCTTTAACTAGACTCTTAAAAGAGCATCCTCTACTCTTTATCTCTACTCTATTTCATTTGTTTGGTTGAAAACCCTTACACACAATCTCTCATTTATTGTGTGAAAAGAGTCTAGCTTTAAGATGGGTTCAACACTTCAATTCGTGTGAACATATTGAAACTGAGTTGAAACTAGCACTAACAGGTCAGGTCAGGTCACGCCTCTTTCCAAGTAACGATATCTATCTTGTTATTGTTTTTTTTTTTAAAAAAAATCTTTTGCATTTGGATACTAGAATTAGGTGGTCATGTGATGAGACAAATTCATATTGTATAGGTGATGGAAGCCCCCAAAATTCAGATTGCAGAAATTCTGGTCTCCACTAACACTAGCATCGATAGTTACAAGGAGAAAAAACCCTTATTTCCTAAGAAAGGGCAGACCTTGGAGCTGGTTTGTAGTTTTATTGATCAAATTTGGTGTTCATTTTTATGTATAAAAAACCTTGTTACAATTTAACATCTCTTTTTCCATTATGTAAATGTAGATATTATGATCAAATTTGGTGTTCTTTTAATGTTTTGACATTAGTAACATAATTAGTAATTGACAATTTGACATATTATTTGCTGAGTTCACGTGAGCAAAAATAAACCAACTTTAGATTCATTAGCTTCTTTAGTATTTCTGGGGCATCTCCATCTCTTTTTTTTTTTAATTTATCTCCTAATTATCCTTATAAGTACTTCTATTCATATTTTTCTATATCTTTTTTGAATTGGTTCTATAGAGGTTATATTCCCCTATTTAGTCTCAGCCTTTTTAACCCCCTACCACCAACAATGTTCTAAAATACGCCGTTCATGCTTACGAGTGATGTTTACGTTTAACAAGTGTGATCAAATTTGAAATAATATAATGAGTGAAAAACATTTAAAAGTATGAATAGTTGAGCTTATATGTTTAGGAAAGTGATATATTTAACAGATTTGCTAAAACATTTAAATTATATTACCGCTTCAAGTAAACTTCTTGAATAAACTTATGCATACATGTATATTTCTATTAAGGTGTTAGTTCTGTATTAGCTATTGCTTGATAGAGTTGCTTTTAGTAGATATTGTACTTCAGGCAACCAAAAACATGTCCACAAAACACATCTTTGTAAATGTAAAAGTCTCATTTAGTGCTTCTATATTAAATATCAATAACATCCTTGAACTGCTTATATTCAGTGCCTATATTTAATTATTTATTACAATATTCTGATTTGGTAAGACTGCTTATCCCGCTAATCATTGATTTAGGTATCCTCATCTCAACCAACTTTTACTTAATGAATTGATTTGTTGAAAGTGGTCATGCATAAAATTAAAACTGAGATTGCCGAGAGACCACAAAATGCAAGCAAGACAAATAACAAAGTCCATATTGTGGTCAATTTTCAATCGTTTTTTGTTTGGGCTAAATGGATGGGTATCTATCCTAAATTAAATACTTTATTGTTTATCATTGCTTATCAGTAAATAAGAAACTACGTATTCAAATATTGTATTCGTATATTTGTTCAACCCTTCAACAACCTAAACCGATGAATTAGTGTCCTACAATGGCCTTGGGCATTTACCACGAACGCGCAGCGCGCGCTACTAAACTAGTACTATGTAATATCCTCCGTATCGCATTAGTTGTAACATTGCAATTTATACATTATTCATGTTCTCTACTTTGACTACATTTTATTTATTAATTAATGTGAAATTATTATTTTTGAAAAATATGGTTGAATTCATCTCATTATTAAGTTTCATAATCTGATTTTTAATTTTTTTTACTAATACAAATTAAATATAATGACAGTCAAAGTTGTGCGTTGACAAACGTGGAAAAAAAGAATGTTTCAACTAAAAAAGAACGGAGGGAGTATAATTTAATTCTATGTAAACACTGAACTAATAATAATAATTAATAATAACAACAATAATAATAACATAATGTCAAGACTCGAGGTTCGAGGCAATAATGTAAAACGCTTAGCATAACAAGTTCAAAGATAAATTGTAAAACACTTGACAAACGAGGTATAAGATTTTTTTTGAAAGAATAAAAGTTCAAAGACAAACTCTAAAACATCACTCCTACTTTTTTTTGTTTACTCCCACTTGTGACTTGCCATAACTTATTCGCTACGCGTTATAGAAGACAAAGAAAACTTATGAAGAAGCGGACGAAGCGGACGAAGCGGACGAAGCAAGAGTAGAGAACCATAGACAAAGAAAACGAAATAGAAGATTGATTTTGAGCGGATGAATCATGGAATATTAATGTCGTAAGTCACATTTTGTAAAACTAACGTTCCATACTTCAATCGTGCCTTTAGCTTCCCGTCTTTTAACTTCACAGTAGTAGTTCTGTTAGATCAACAATTCCAACGAGTTACGTTTATCCTCGTCGATCCAGAGATCCCAAGTCATTTTCTAATCACAACGGCTAACTAGCTCGCACCTCCCTTTTATGATCGTAAAATCATACTGCGTACAATCTTGCGAGTTCGATTGCGATTTGTGAGTTGGGATGGTTTAATCTAATTTTTGCTGGAATCACAGTCTGAAAATTAATATTTTTTCAAAAGAAAAAAATCACACACGAGTGAATTCATATTAATAGTAACATTTATCACATTAGGTGACATGTAGGACTCAAAATGGATCAGAACACTTCAATAAAAAAAACTAAATATATATAGCTCCTTTATCGTCATACAGCTCTCATTCCCGGCAAACCGCTAGTGGTTTAGCTTAGAGAGAAGGGAGAACTGAAAATAGAACAGAAAGAACTTGCAATAAATGAGTTGTGAACCTCCTACAACTACCCCCAAGGGCCATTTATAGGGGGAATGTGGGTTGGGGTCCAAGGTTTTGGGCCTGGAAGGCCCGATTACAATAATGAGCCAATAATGGGCTGTTTACATGTGTTCAATCCGCTAAGGGTACTATGAGGATGCCTGCTAGTGATGGGTTCGAGATGCGTGGGCGCACCTCGGCCTTACCGGTGAAGACGTCCAGGTGAGCCTTGCCGAGGTGTGTTCCTCCGAGGTGCATGTACCGAGGCCGGTGATGACATACGGATATAAAATCCACCTCTTCATTCTGGAATGAGCTCTCTAGGTGGGCCTTATGTCCCTGATGTCGGCTTGGACTGTCAGTATGTCCAAGAGTATGTGGGCCGTGGGTCCAAGCCCATATACTCTATTAGTGCCTATTTGTCTATTACAGAGTATATTTCTTTTAGTGTTGTTTTTTTGATAAAAACCTCATGTAAGTATCATGATCAATACATGGATCCAAAAAAGGTGGAACCTCCCACCCCAGGAGCCCCTAGGCATGGCAATGGGTCGGGGCGGGGCGGGTATTGCAAGACCCGGACCCGCCCCGTGACTTGGCGGGGCGGGTCCGCCCTGCCCCGTGACCTGCACGGGTCCAAACTTGTTGACCCATGACCCGCCCCATGCGGGGCGGGGCGGGGCGGATCCGCCCCGCCGCAACCTAATTAGCTAGTTTTTGTTTTTATTTGTAGGAAGTTGTTACCAATTGAATCTACATAATGTTTATCCCTAAATAATAATTAAAACTCAATATATTAAATCAAATTCATGATACGCTAAAATTTTCAAAAATTAAGAAAAAATTACTCAAACTTGAATAATTAATCTAATTAGTTATATTAATAATTGAATAAATGTATTAAAATTCTATATATATATAAAGAAGACATTGATAATCCGTCGTGCATCTCATTCTAATATATATTCATATATTATAAGATCAAAGAATTTGTAATTATTGTATACACACATAATATTGTATGTTGAAGTATATATTGTATGTTGAAGTATATTTGTAGTATAAGTTAAGAAAAAGTATGTATATTTATATATTGAGCGGGTCGGGGCGGGGCGGGGCGGGGCGGAACGGGTCAATTCTAATACCCGGACCCGCCCCATTGTATAGGCGGGGCGGGGCGGACCCGCCCCATTTGCAAGACGGGGCGGGGCGGACCCGCCCCAAATGTCTCGGGCCAGGGCGGGTCATTGCGGGTCGGGTTTTTTTTGACATCCCTAGGAGCCCCCACACCCCGACCCGGCATGATGGTGAAGGAGTAAGTCACGGT